AGTTCTCCAGTTAGAGGGGAGAGGAGGCTGAAAGAGGCAGTATCAATCTAGGCTTGAGTTAGCCACAGGGTGATGAGATGAGAAATAATGAGGTCATCCTGGGAGAGGTATCCTACTTCGTGGAGTAGAAGCCAGGCAGGGCAGTAGATGCAAAGTCTCCTCCTATCATACCGCATCTAGAATTCTTGTCTTCACTTCTGGGTACCACATTATAGGAAGTATAATGACAACTTGGAAAATCATCCAGAGGCAGATGATTTGGGTTGTGAAAGACCTCAAGTTCATGCCATATAACTGGGGGCACCTATTCTGGAGAAGAGAAGACTTTGAGGAGATAGACTAGCCCTATGGAAGAAGGATAAGACTTGGATTTTTTCAGCACCAGAGGATAATACTAGGTGAGGTTATAGAGGTTATAGAGATGTAGATTTCTACTTCATATAAGGAAAAACTTCCTAACAATAAGAACTATTCAAAAATAGAATGGGTTGTCTTGGGAGCTAGTAGGTTTCCTGTTAGTTGAGGTCTTCCAGTAATGGCTGGATGATTATTTATTGGTAAGCTAATTTAGGGCATTCTTCAGCAGATATAGGTTGGACTAGATGACCTATAATGTCTTTTCCAACTCTGAGATTTTGTGATATTGTGCTGGTGAAATGGGGAGGGGAGGGTGTAGAATAGTTGATCTCTAATGTCCCTCCAAGTGTAATTCTGTGATTATCACTAACAATAATTTAAGGTATAAGATATTATATATCATATCTTACACAGGTAATATGTTTACATCAGCTACATACAGCTAGGAGTAGGATGCAAAGAATAGGACAATGGGCAGGTTAGTTTTACTAGAGCAAAGGATTTATATGTTATACAGTCATCCCTCGACATTCAAGAGATAAGGGGCTCAGGACCAGAAAGAATGAGAAAAACCACAAATAACTCTAGACCCTACCCCCAAAATTAATTTTTAATAATTCTGATCATATTTATATAACACACAAAACAAGTAAAACAATATACTGGACCCATAAAAAAACATTGCAGTTTCTACTCAAGAGAGATTAGTGTCACACATTTTGCAGAGTCTTTGCAGATACAGGTATAGCTGCAGCAGCTGCTTCATGGATTTCCTTTTCCTATGAAAATGCAAAATACAATGAACACTTCTGGAGAAAATCATGTGACTGAGTTTGGATGGTGGAGAGACAAAGAGGAGGCATTCCCAAAGAGAATGAATAGCCTGTCATTTTTAGTGCACTGAAACTTTTAACAAAATTTAATTGTTTATAATAAATTTATTTATGTATACTTATGGTAATAAATGATAAAATATGTTAATAATATATAGTATCCATTCATTTATGACTTACTAAATATTTTTAGTTTTCTTTACATACACACCTCATCTGTAATTTTCTGTAGTACTCCACAAATCTCTAAAAATTCCCATTTAATTATTGGTGGCCAAGCCACGAATAACCAAAACCAGGACTGTGAAATCCACAAATGTGGAGGGATAACTATATTTATAGAGTAGGAGATAAAGATAAACTTAGAGAGCTTTAGTAACTTAAAATATTTGATCTTCATTATCATCCTGTCAACAAGTATTTAGGGTCAGCAAGGTGGCCCAGTGGATAGAGTGCCAGGCCTGGAGTCAGGAAGACTCATCTTCCCAAGTTCAAATCTGGTCTCAGACACTTATTAGCTATGTGGCCCTGAGCAAGTCACCTAACTCTGCCTCAGTTTCCTCATCTGTAAAATGAGCTGGAGAAGGAAATGGCAAACCACTCTAGAATCTTTGCCAAAAACAAAAAAAAAACAAAACAAAACTCCAAATGGGGTCATGAACAGTCAAACACGAATGAAAAACAAAACACGTCCCTGGTATGGTGAGATATACATAAATGGAAAGCATGACCTCAGTTGTCAAATTATATTACAATCTAATTGAAGAGACAAAACAAACACATGGCACAATAGAAAACAAGTATAAAACTATGTGGTGCTAAGTGAATTTTATAATTTTAGAGATAGGAGAAAACCAGTATGGATGAGAGTAATTTGCATTTATATTCCAAGGTTCATTGGAATCTGAAGGGCTTCTGATGCTAACCTGAAGATTTCATTTTAGCTTAGAGACAATAGGGAACCACAGAAGCTTTTTGAGCAGGACAGTGAAATAATAAAACTTGGTTTTAGGAACATTGTTTTGTCAGCTATGACGAGAATGGATTGGAGAGAGGAAAACTTGGAAGTTGGGGGTATATTTAAGAGGCTATTGCAGCAGTCTGAGCAAGAAATAATGAGGACTGCATTAGGGTGAGTAGAGAGAAGGGAATGGATGCAAGTGATGTCAGGGTAGAATCAATAAAGCTTAGCAATTGACAAGATATGAGGGATGAAGGAGAGGGAAAAGTCCAAGGTTTCAGACATGATTTACTAGAAGGATGGTGGTGCCCTCAGCAGAAATAAGGAAGTGTGTATAAGAGATGGGACGGGGGGACGGAGGGTTAAAGGGAAGGTAATGAAGTACATTTTGGACATGTCTATGGGACCATCAGAGATGTGGAACAGGCATTTGGAGAAGATGTAGGTCTGGAGCTAAGGAGAGAGATGAGGTCTGCATTAGACTTGGGAGTCATCTGCATTGATATGATAGTTGAATCTATGGGATCTAATGAAATCACTGAGAGAGTCTGTAGAAAGACATTAGAAGGGGACCCAGGAGAGACTCAGAGTTAGAAGGCAGTATATACATGACAATACAAGTAGCAAAGGAGTCCAAAAAGGAGCAATCAGGCCAAGAAGAGGAGAACCAAGAGAGAGCCATCACCTAATAAAGTGTCTCTGGTGAATGTGTCAAAATCATATGAGAATCTCCAAAGAGATATAACAACAGAAGTCATGTTGCTGACCTTCTGGTTGTTCGTATCAAGTGGTGCATAAAACAGGGAGATGTATATTTGCCAAAGTGTTGGGGCTGACATGAAAGGTGTCCAGTGAGGCATTTAAATCAAAGAAGGGATTCCATAGAGAGAGAGAGGTCCTCTAGGTGCTCTTGTTTATGGACAATATTGTGCTGATTATATCAAATCCTAAACACATTTCAGATCTCCTAATTATTTCTTGATTCTTAACCATTTAAAATACTTCAGCCTTACTCTACACTCAGAAAAAACAACTGGATGAAAAGTGCCTGTTATCCATGTTACAAGGTGCAATTTGATGAATAACCCGTAGTAGTTGTCCATTCATTCATACATACATATATATATATATTATATGTCTTGAAAAATATTGCTAATGGATGGTGAGTTGGGCTCATGATTTCATAGGAGTAAGAGAGCAGGCTGCTCACCATCTCCCCTCAGTCCCTGATGAGTTGGGCCAGGATCCTTAAAGAACCTTAGGAATAGCAGCGTTTACCAGACCTGCTTCAAGCCCAGCCCCACAGCTATTATTGAGGGGAGAAATGATAGTGGAGAAGGGGTCTGCCTTCATCATCACCAGGAACAGCTCCTGACCAACTGTCACCAACCCAGTTCTAAAGCCATTGTCCAGGGAAGCAGCTCCTATGAAAAGGGGCCCAGCCATCCCTACCAAATGCCAATCAGCTGCCAAACATGTAGTAGGCAAGCCAGCTTAGCTGAAGCAGCAGAGCACCCTGAAGGAAAGGCGAGAGGCAGCATATGCCAGGCAAGTCAAATAACCACTGCCACCACCTTGACCATCATCTCTCTTCAGATCTTGATGGGGACAGACCAGGACCCAGAACCTAGCAGCCTTGGGAATAGGAATGCTTCCAGCCCTGGGCCCAGAGTCATCCTCCTGGGAAAACAATCCTCATGGAGGGGCAGCCTGGCAACCACTCCTGCTGGTGCCATAGCCGTACTACTGAAGATCTAGAAAAGACAGTTCTTGCTGGCAGAGTCCTTGGCTGTCAAATGGTTCAACATAAGAAACTAATATGATTTTATCAGTGGAAATGATGTTAAGGAAGAAGTATTACCATCTGCTTTGCCGCTGTACCCGAAGGACCTTTCAGTCTGACTTACAGCTGAAACCTTCCATATGTGTCATTTTCCATGTTTGAATGTCAGTATTTATTAAGGGCCTACTATGTGCCAAGAACATGCTAACTGCTTTATAAATATTATCTCATTCTGTCCTAACAATAGTCCTATGAGGTAGGTGCTATTATTATCCCCACTTTACAGCTGAGAAAATGGAGGCAGGAGGAGATTAAGGGCCTTGCTTCAGGATCACATAGTACATGTCTGTGGCTAGATTTTAACTCAGATCCTCCCAACTCCAGGCCCAGTGCTTTATCTATTGTGCCACCTAGTGGTCTTGCTCTTAATGGCGAATGTGTATAGTACTTAGCATAGTGCTTTGCACATAGTAAACACTTAATAAATACTTCATTCATTCATTCATTCATGCATTCATTCATCCTAGAGCTAGTGTTCTTTCCTTTGTACCATGCAGCCTCTTTATGTTTGCCTGTATGAGAGGAATTTTGCATTGTTTCTCATATGGGATCATTTTATAGGGTGTGTTAACCTGTGTCTTTAGCTGCTCAGACCAACCTGCTGAAAACGACAAATCCTTGGTTCTACTTTTAGACTCCAAACTATTCTTTTAAATAATCAGGTGATATTTACTCTTGGATATTTATTTAATATTAAAACTGAAATTTAAGGTAACTTGCTCATGTAGAAAAATTTCATTAGGAGTAAAGTATTTTTCTTTTTGCTAAAAGCAAAATTAGTTATCATTCTTACAAGCCTTAGAAGGGTACAGAGTAATGGCATTGGAAAAGAGCTCCTTTTCTCTATCTAATCTCTAATTGAATAAGCCTTCAAGCAACTGAGTATTAAAATATCTGGCTTCTGTGAGTTTCTTTTTTTTTTTTTGACCTGGAATCACTTTGTCTATGAAAATAGATAGTTAATAGAACATCTTAATAAAGTCTACATCTATATTTTTTTTCCTAGTACATCCACTCTGGCAAAGCTTGGACATGGTACCTGAAGGTGATCGACAATCACCGATCAATATCCGATGGAGAGATAGTGTTTATGATCCTTGCCTGAAGCCCTTAAAAATTTGTTATGATCCAAATACATGTCTTCATATCTGGAATAATGGGTATTCTTTCCTAGTGGAATTTGAGGATTCTACAAATAAATCCGGTAAGAGAACAACATTTAATGCTTCTAATCTGGGCTAAAAAAAAGTTTATACTCAATACTAATATCCCAGTTTTGCCTGTTTTTGTATAATAAAATTGTATATGAATTATCTGACCCAGGGGTGGGGAACCTGCGGCCTTGAAGCCACATGTGGCCTTCTATGTCCTTGGGTGCGGACTACAGAGCAAATCCTTTTATTAAGAGGATTTGTTCTGTGAAGTTGGAATTCAGTCAAAGGGCTGTACTTGAGGACTTAAAGGGCCACATGTGGCCTTGAGGCCCCAGGTTCCCCGCCCCTGATCTGACCTATTTTGAATTTAAGAAAAAAATTCCCTCCTTCGGGTATCATGTAGTAACTTTTATGCTTTTAATAAAATATGTAGTATTTTCAATTATTAAATGCATCTTTAGATATATATATATATATATATGTATTTTGTTTGAATACTTGCTTTAAAGGAGCTTATAAGAGTTTTAAGTTTTCCCTGCTATTTTTGTTAATAAATGATCATTTTCCTCTGTATACTATATGTTGTGTTTAAAAATAATTTTATGTTAAATATTAACTGACTTTTAATATTTAATCAGTATTAACTGATAAGAATTAAGTACATTTGCAATAAGACAAAGACGTATTTTTATGTGCAAAGTGTTATGTTTCTTAATAGCTACTTAGAAGTATTTACATACTGGAAAATTAGGTTTTTGTCATTTGTTAACAAAATTAAGCAAATATAATTATCTGTTTTTAAAAAGAAATAGAAATTCTCTGAATTGAAAGTTTCTTAAGATAACCAAGAGTTTGTAATTGTTCTTCTCCTTGCAGCCAAGCAGGATATGAATGTAATTATGAGATATTTTTACAGTTGGATCAAAAAACTTTGTGATTCTTGAATTTAGGTTATAACTGAATTCTAAATAGATTTCTTGTCTCCTACTCATGACTAAGTTTAGTTCAAGTAAACAATTTTAATTAGTGTGAAGCAAGTATGTGGGGAAAAATGATCATAAGGAAATGGAGTTCTCATTAATGAATAGTGTAAAACAATTTAAGGAATGGTTTATAAAATTCCTAAAAGTGCATGAGGCAGCAATGAAGACTGTTATATCTGTATTGATTATAAAACTCTAAACTGTGTGTTCTCTCCATATGTTCCTAATACAATCCTGGAACTATGAATCTGAACACATAGTCCAGAGTCCAGATCTAAAGATAGTCCCTAAAATATAAAGATTTCCTTTCTTTCTCCTTTATTCTGTACATTTATCTGCTTGATAAAGTGTAAGTAGCTATCTTAAATCACTTATATCTGCCTATCTTTCTTAAGACATTGCCTCCCACTTTTTATTATCTTGTGTCTAATTATTCAAAAGTCTGAAAATCTGCCCCCACTGATTCCTCAGTGCTGTCTGGATTATCTGTAGTCCTGTAATGACCTATTCTAACTCCCAAACTGTCTTTAGACAAATGAACCAAATCCTTCTGTCCCAGATTATCCACTTATGCTTACGTCCACCCTGAAATCTAATCACCATTCCCACCACGACATTAATTTGCCTTCTCTTTTCTCATGCCCTTCCTTGATTCTACAAATGTGAATGTATCTTTAATCCTTCTCACTTTTAACCTTATATATTTTCAACCTGAGCAGAATAAGTCCTGTTCAACGTTGTTTGTTAGAATCAACTCAAAGTGAATCAAACAATTTTATCTGTTATATTTTTAGTCATCTGATTAATCAACAGTTTTTAAGATTTAGATTAAGAATCTAATTCTTAAATTTCTACCAGGGACGACCAGGGAAGATTTTTCGTGGAGGTCATACCTTAACTAGGTCTTTAAGGAAGAGAAGTATTTCTTTTTTTCTGACATTATTTATAGCTTTTGTTTTTTATATCACTTTCATTTCCAAATGTATCCTTTCCTCCTCCCTTGCCCAGAGAGCCTTCTCTTGTAACTTAGAATAAAAAAAGAAAGAAAAAAAAAAAAACAGTTCTTCAAAAAAACTATCCAACACTTCAGGCGTTTCTGACGTATGCAGTGTTCCATGCCTGCCATCCCCCATCTCCGCAAAGAAGAAAGAAAGGTGCAGTTTGTCATTTGGAAGATAAGTTGTTTGTTTTTTTAAACAGGCAGGGAGGATTCCATTTCAGAAACTGAATTAACTGAACAAATGGAGACAAAAGAGATCAGTGATATGGTGTAATACCTAGTAGTTGGTTTGACTAGAATATACTGCAGGGTGTGTGAAGGGAGAGTGTTGTGAAATTAGGGCCAAAAGGTGGATTGGAGCCAGATCATGCAAAGCCTTGAAGCCAGAATAAAGACTTTGCATTTTATCTTGAAAACAATGAGGAGCCACGGATTAGACCTAGAAGATTACTTTATAGCTGTGTAAAGATTGGACTGGAAAGGAGAGAGATCAGAGTTAGGACAACAGGTTAAGAGGCAATTATAATAGTCAAATAAGAGGTAATGAGACTGTAATCGTTGGGAAAGAAAAGGAGGGAAAGAGTGCAAGATATATTGCCAGAGTTTAAGTGATAGTATTTAGCAACTTTTTTTTTCTTTTGTTTGTTTGTTTGATGGAGGGGCAGGGTTAGAGAGAGGGAAGAGTCAAAGATAATCCTGAGGTTTCAAATTTGGGTGACAGGGAGGATAGTAGTGCAGTCATCAGATACAGAATATTATGGACATGTTGAATTTAAGAAGTCAGTGAGATATGCAGGTGTAGATATCCAGCAGTCATTTGGAAATGCCAGTCTGGCATTCAAGGGAGAGAGCAGAGCTGTGTATGTATGGGTCATCTGCAGAGATATAATAAATGAAATCATGAGAATAGATGCAGCAACCAAGCAAAAAACTGTAGAAAGGGGGCAGCTAGGTGGCGCAGTGGATAGAGCGCCAGCCCTGGATTCAGGAGGACCTGAGTTCAAATCCTGCCTCAGACACATAACACTTACTAGCTGTGTGACCCTGGACAAGTCACTTAAACCCATTGCCTAAACTCTGCCCCCCTCCCAGAAAAAACTGTAGAAAGAAGGAAGACATCCGAGAGCTAAACATCGGTGACCTACTCTCTGGAGGCTGGAAAAGGGAGAAAGAACAAAGAATGAGCAGTCATATTCTTAGGAAGAGAGCCAAGAGAGAACAATGGAAACAGATTGAGGAGAAAATATCTAAGAAGAAGGAATAGTGAACAGAAAGGTAAAGGATGATAAAGACTGAGGAGAAAAAAGTAGCTTTTTTTTTTTAAAGTAGCTTTTAAGACGTCATTGCCATCTTGGAAAGAACAGGTTGAAGGATAAAGGAGAGGAGAATGGTGGGATGATTGATAGCTTGAGTGAGGACTAGGATCAAGGAGGGATATTATTTTAGTAAAAACCTGAGCATATTTCTTGGCAAACCACAAGGAATCAACAGAGGAGAGATTGAAGACGAAAGAGGATATATGAAGCAGACATGGAGAAGACTCATTTTATAGCGTAATTTTTAATCACTGGTAAATGTGGCAGAGCAGTATAACTGACACTTTTAACTGACAAGTTTTGGGGGTTTTTTGCCTTTTAAAATTAGGTTTTGGTTTTTATTTAGCACACCCTGTAGTAGACCTCTCCAAATTGTAGGTCCCTAGGGAGGCCTCCAGAACTACAGGTCCCCAGTGGCCTCTCTTGCCTTGTGTTTTCATAATGCTTCCACAAGGTGTGCCATTTCTGCTGGACCGGTAAGTCGGGTTCAACTCCTGATGGTTAGGGCTGGCGCTCTTTTTGAGTCATAGAGCTCAGTCTCTCTCCTCAGAACTGTCTTTTGCCTTGTAGGCCTGCTTCCTCTTGGGGGTAGTGGCTCCTACTGGGAGAGTGTGTCATGGCCAATGTTGGAGGGGGATAGAGAGAGAGAGGGTCCCAAAGCCCCTCTTCCTGAATAGTGTGAAGAACTTCCTCTCAAGGGCTAGAGACTTTTTCTGTAGCTAGGTCTCCTCTCTATTTCCAGGGGTCACAGTCTGTCTCCTATCTTGGCTGCCTCCTTAGATAGCATGTCTTTATTTTTAAGAGGCAACCAGGGGTAGGGCCAATCTTTATCCAGCCAATAGTTGGCTACTCTCTAAATTTTCACATCTTGTAAAGGAGTAACAAAATGTAAGCCTTTTTCAAAAATGCTTTAAAACCTTAATAACTCCTTGTTTCTATTGCCGATCCCTTACTCTCTGTTATTGCATCAGGGAGGCTGAGGGAAGTCAATTTATCAAAGGTATCCTGATGAACTCCCTGCACTCTACTGCAAGTGTATGAAACACAAAGATTTTGTATGCCTTCAAACTCAATTATATGATGATGGATTTGGTTTAATGCAATGGATATACCTTTTCTGGCTAAAAGATTTAAATTGTATTCTTTGCATTTTTCTTGGTGTAATTTAAAATAGTTTGTAGATTCTTAGTGAAGTTTTTTTTTTGGGGGGGCAGTATAGATCTTGTGATAAAATAGTTCTGGTTTAAGAGGCAGCTTGGCGGTTAGAGCACTGTGGAATCAGGAAAACCTGAGTTCAAATCCATGCTCAGATACTTATTAACTGTGTGACCCTGGGAAAGTCACTTATCTGCTGTCTGCATTAGTTTCCTTATCTTTAAAATGGGGATAAAATAGCACCTATCTTCTAGGTTGTTGTGAGGATGAAGTAAAATAATATCTATAAAGTGCTCTGCAAAGCTTAAAGTGATATATAAATACTAGCTATTACTATTGTGGGTTTATTATTGCCTCTTGCTCTTGAGTCACACTCTATATTAGAATGCTGATACAAAGAATTTGTCAGAATCATGCTTAAAAGCCTATCTGTTCTGATGTTACTTATCCAGTTTAAGAGAAATTCATTCTTTTAACTTTAACAATTATTTGCTTGCATAACCTTCAATCTTTAAAGAACTAATTTTCTCTCTCTTTCATATTTCAGTGTCTACCCTGTGTTTCCTGTTTTATTTTTCCATCCTTTCCTCCACGTT